AATGTTTCCTTTATTTTTTCTCTGATTTCTTATGCATCTGAAGAAGGACTTTTTTATTCTTCTTGACTTCTGTTGCCAGTGTGAATTTGGTTTCCACCTTCATAGGTCAGAGAGAGGCTCTTGCTGACTGCAAAAACTTCAAACTTTCTCATTCTGCTCCTCTGCTGAGTTAGTCAAATAGGCCCAATGCAAGACAAGAACAGGAGGAAAACCTGATAGAATATTTTAAAAAAGGAGTTGGGGGTGGTGGTGGAAATGAGAGCTTAGAAGAGATCATTTTAGTAAAAAGAAAATTGTTGATCCAAAAATGAACACAAACCTGTCAGGTCCCACACCAAGTCCTCTTTGGCTTAGTGCTTATGCAGACAAAAGCCCCAGCAGTATTTATAAGCATGGACCAAGAGGTGCCAGTAAAACTGCCTAGTTGTCTTGCTCTGTCCTCCCAAAGCCCAGATTTCTGGACATACCCTGTATATACACAGAACTGTTCAAATGTTTAACGTTCCCCTTCTAGGCCTCACCGAGGTAGACCAGAATCTTTCCTCCGCTACTTTGATTGAGGAAAAGAGAGTGAAATCTAAACCCTACAATCTCTTCACCAATTACTTCCCCCAGTTATTCTGCCCATGGAAGGAAAGAGAGAGAGGCTGTAAAGATATAAACCAGGATGGCTGTTATTTCGTTGGTGGTAGAGCGCTCCATTGGAGGTTGCTGGTAACACACCTTGTATTCCAACACATTTCTGGGCCTTGGGAACTGATTTGTGTACTGTCCAAAGAGTTCATGAGGAATATTGATGAATATTCCTCATATTGAACTTCACTGTCAGATGCCAGACACCATGGATTAAACACAGAAGATAGTTTTCATGACTTATTATAATATAACTGGCATTTCTTCTAACCTCTCAAGACTCCAATGCTTTTTGAACTGAGTAGTTTTCATCAGTAGTGGTACTCAGTCTTTTGGCCTCGTGGGCCAGAAGAGTAATCTGAGGCCTGTGGAATAGGATTAGGCATCACACCACTAGCACCTACCAGGATCAGGCCCTTACATTGCCTATGCCCACTGATATCAGGCCCTGAGGCCCCACGCTGCCGACACCCAGCACAGATTCCTGTCTTCAAGATGACCAAAGATACTGTTGGGAAATCAGTTCATTAATTCCCAGCTTCAAGACCATGAAACATCAGAGGACCAGTTTCAAGCAACTAACAAAAACATCTCTGTTGTCACCTATAAAATTCACAGACATAATACAGGCAGAGGGCAGGGCAGGGCAGCACCTTAGTTCAGAAATGATTAAGCTTTCATAGGCAACAACCTACATCTGATCCTATGAATTGCACTGCCTATAATTGAGGCTTAAAATAGTTTAGGACATTGTTGTCTCTCTTTCACCTTTGAAATAATTAAGAGGCCTTTATTTATGCAGATGAGGGGAAGCATGTTCTTCCTACCACAACCTGAAGGATTACCTTTTACTAGGGATCCTCAGGACCAGAAACAACACATCAGAGATCTGAGACAGTCAAGTCCCTGGATACCTTTGTCTTGAGCTAAGTGAAATGCAGGGCACCCTACTACTGGGACTAACCCTAGCAGCTTTCACTGCTGTCATGCTGCGGGGCCTGAGGACATTTTTTTTCCAGCTCTCCAAACTAGAAATCCCTCCTGGAGTGGATCAGCCTGGAAGGTACCGAATGTTTGCTGCTCTAATGACAACCATATATACTGTGGTGAGTTGGCCTGGCCCCTGCGGGTCCTGTGTACTTTCTAAGAGAGGTGGGGAATTAGTTGAACTAGGGTTATCTCTGAAGTGAGTATAAGAGGCTGCTTTTATGCTTCCCAGTGAGCTCTGTCAGACCATGCATGATACTACAAAGTCAAATTTTGCCTGGCTCCCATGTAGGTACATATTGTTGTGGGAATATTGGCAACCCCGGGGCTCAAAAAACCATGAATCAAGCTCCCCAGCCATCATATCACCTTCAAAATCAGTAGGCTAGTGCCATGCAGTGTTAGCAGAGTTGGGTGTGCAAACATGATTCTCATGATAAACCCAGAGCTTTCAAAAAGTAATCGATAGTATTGAAAACATTTCTGATCTGTTGTAGTGTTGGGTTCTTTGCAAAAGAAAATTTCTATTATTTGTATATAGTAAAAAAATGAGGGAAAATGAAGACCTGGCATTTTCCAAGGAGCACCTTAGGTCTGAACAGTTTCAGAACTACTGCCTGGGACTGAAAGAAACAGATGGAGTTAATTTTATTCCCACTCATGGAGCAATGTATTTAGGATGCATTCAGGGCTTGATTTCAAGTTGCTATCTACAGACAAGAGATTGGGCATTCTTTAAAAATATTTAAAGACTATTCTTTAAAGAGCACGCTTTAAAAATATTTAAGCCTTGAAATTCTCAGGAAATCTATCTACTGGCACTGCTTGATGAAAGCTTGAGTAGCCTTCCCTTCTGACTCTGGGCATTGCCTGCCTCCAAATGAGCTAGAATTGCACTCATATGAATACATTCATTTGCATAGCTGAGTGTGCGATTCTCCCAAAGATATCAGCAACTTGAAAATCCTGTTCTCTCTAAATACCAAAGTACTGGTTTGATTGTGCAGCAGACAATTAGATACACAAATTAGTGAGTGAGAGATGACACACAAACTCACATGGGGTATACTATGCCAAAAGTATATCTTTGGTTTTATTAGATTTCAGTTTAGTTTGATAACTAGAAAATACAGTTCTCCTAACCAATGTATCCATCTTTACATATAAGAAGGGCTTCTAGGAGTAGGTGTTATCAGAGTCGTAATCATTTTTCATCCCCACTGCACAGCCACAGCTATATTTGGTACCTCAAACTTAAGGAACATGGAAGTGAATTGATTAAATTGAAATGTAACAAAAGCAGACTGATTTGCTGCATAATTTAATTCACTTCAGTTTGGATCTTGTTCTTATTCACTAAGTCTATGAAAAAGAGCTTCATAACCTTATCTATTTGATTCACTACACCCCACATAGCTCCCACTTCAGGTCAGATACTAGTCTTGCTAAAAGGCAGCAAAGTGGAATTCTATTCCACCAGGCCCAAGTCCTGAAAAGCCATTAATATATCTACTCTTCAAACACACTGTCCTCTTACCTTTAAGACCGAGTCATAAAAAAGGAGAAAAGAAAAGGAGGGCTCACACCCCTTTTGGCAGTACATACTTTTCTGGGACTTGAGCAAAGTGGGGATGCAATTGCACTTGTGCACCGAAGTCCACTAAGATGAAAATGGAAGATCTTTGGGGTAGGGGGCTGCCTTGTTTTACCCGACAAACAGTCTAGTAAATTGTTGAAGGTGGTCCACTTCCACAACGTGCCTCATTATTCTCTGCGTAGCCAGCGTGCTTCATGGTCTCAGAAAATAAAACCACCTGACAATTTAAGAAATACATAACTTAGTTGTGTGCACACTATTATATTGGTGTTACTAACTAGAAATTCAGTCCACACAAGGGAAAAAAATCAGTCTGCGTGCAGAATCTGAGACAGTGAATCAGTGAGGACTCCTTGTGTCAGATCCTAATGCAACAGCAGAATGACTAGCTTTCAGTAAGGATAGCTGATTTCTTTTTCTGCTTGTAAGAGTAGACACTTGCAGGGAGGATTTTTTTACATTGGCAAGATGAATTTCCTACCCTGTTTTGAGACACTAGAGACGCTTGGATGACAAATTGATCAAGCATCCTTTCATTCAAATCCAGTTTCTTTAGGCATAAAGACAAAAAAATAACAATCCCAAACAACTGGAGTTCAAATGCTGTTCAGCATCTTCAGGAAGATGGACTGAGACGAATATCCACAGGAAAAGCCAACATTGCAGCGGTTTTCTTTGTGCATTGCTTAGTATAGGACCAGATATCCTCTGTAGGCTTTGTTCTCCCTTCAGGTCCCAGGCTAGAAAAGAGGCCCATGAATAAGGCTGTGTTTGGACCTGGGCAGGCTGAGCTCTACTCAGGGCTCTCTGTCTGGCACCTATTACCCCAAATCAGGCCGCTGTCGTTTCTCATTTCAATTGTCTCACTCTCCTGTCTGGAAGGAGACATTCCTTATTTTTGCTTTTGGAGCGTAAGATTTTCAAATGCACACAGTCCATGCAGTTCCCAGGCACTGAGGAGATTGTATCCTTCTTAATCTAATCTGTGGGCTCTCTCATTTTGAACAGGGGAAGGGCTTGGAGAAGATGGGGATCTGCCGTTTTCACACGTATATGCGGTATGTACTTGATAAGAAGAAACACAAAGCAGACCCCAAGCTCTTCATCAAGAACCTGCAGTTTGAGAAGGTGCCAGTGAGGGTTTATGAGCCTCGAGCCCCATCTGCTGGCCTAAGAAAAGGGATCATCTTCTTCCACGGAGGCGGTGGGGTATTTGGAAGTGTTGGTAAGATGCTAGAGGAAAAACAATGTTGTAAATATTTTGGAAAAGCTATCTCCAGATTTTACAAACCTGAAAGGGGGGCACATTTGGCCTCACGTTCAAGAGGGTCTCTGATGGTTGCCCTTTTAAAGGAGACACATGCTGATACTCTGCCAGACAGATTTGCAGAAGAGGCACCTCCTTGAACATCACTGGCTCTTTGAAACAAAAGGTTAGCCTAGAAAAGGTGTAATAAAGAGAACACCGAGTATGAAAGGGCAGTACGTTCATGAATAATATGGGGTATATATCCCAAAGGTAAGATGGGACTAGAACTGTCAGTCCTTAGCACCCATAAAAATACTTGTTTTTCAGACACTCACGATAACGTGTGCCGATACATTGCCAGAGAAAGCGAAGCTGTGGTTGCATCTGTTGAGTAAGTGAACTCTGCTCAGTGCTGTTATATGGAGGTTGCTTGCACTGCTTTGACTAGGCATTACCGAGAAAATGTCACAGTTTTCATTTGGCTTTTGTGCCCAGGTAGATTAGGCTCAGCATAAGACACTGAATCTAAGCATAATAGGGAAATCTTGTACAATTAAAAAAGGAAGGGAGGAAGGTGGGAAGCAGAGGGAGCAGAGCTAGAGTTTGTAAAAAATCATATTACTGTAAATGGTCTGTCCTGATCCAGTAATAAGCAAAATCTTGTCATATAGGGCCTTTGTCCATGCCATGAAATTGGCCTTTAAAGTGGCTTAAATGCCCTTTTGCACTGCTTTCATGGTGTTGCTGTTGGTGGTGTTACACTGCCAGCAGTGTATTGTGCTTTAATGGTGATGCTGTTTACACTGTCGGCAGTGTATTGTGCTTTAAATAAATGTGGTATGTGGCAAAATAAAACACCTCCAAGGTGTTTTAGTTTGCTGCCTAACAAAGTGCAACAGCCACAGAGGGAAGCACCGAGCCCTGTGCAGCTCAGGGGCTGTGCATGCAGCCCGTGCAGGTAGGCTCTGAACATGAGCCTGCAATGTGATGCTGCAGCGAGTAAAGCGAGCAAAACGCTGGCCTGCATCCATAGATGCTTCTCAAGCAAATCCCAGGACATCGTTCTCCCGTTGTACTTGGCCTTGGTGAGGCTGCAGCTGGAGTACTGCATCCAGTTTTGGGCTCCACAGTTCAGAGGGGATGTGGCTTGGGAGAGTGCATTGGAGAGCCACACACATGATCAGAGGTCAGGAAAACAGACATTATGACGAGAGGCTGAGCGCCATGGGACTCTTCAGCCTGGAAAAGCGCAGGCTCAGTGGTGATGTGGTGGCCACCTATAAGTTTATCAGCGGTGTTCACCAGGACCTGGGGGAACGTCTGTTCACCAGAGCTCCCCAAGGGATGACAAGGTCGAACAGTTATAAACTCTGCAAGACCATTTCAGGCTGGACATAAGGAAGAACTTCTTTACTGTCCGAGCCCCCAAGGTCTGGAATAGACTGCCTCCCCACCTGAGCTGTGCCTGCCCACTTGATGCTTCACTTCGCAGCTGCAGGGGAGGGCTGGTACCACCTTCTGCAGCTGCAGTGCCCATCCAGACTGCCCAGGCCAGGTGCCAGCAGGCGGGTGCTGTCTGGGGGACACTGCCGCGGAGGGAAGCATCGGTTCATCCCGCAGCTCAGGGACTGCTCAGCTCACCCTCCACCCCTGCCACCAGAGAGGCAGATAAGGATCAGGCCCCCCACACTTGTGTACATGCCACGGGGGTTTAGATCGGTTTCATTCTCCCTGAATTGAAGTGGTGTTTTTAAAAACCCACTGCTTCAACACAGAGAGAACTAAACCGAATGAAACCCCTGTCGGGTATACAAGCAGCCATACTCTGTCAAATACTCTACTTGGAGTGGTCTGACAAGCAAATGCCCGGTGGCATTTCTAGGCATCACTGCCATCATTTTTAGGAGGGTGCCTGTTTATGAAGTATTAACTAAGAAGTCTTCTGTGGAAGTGGCCGGGGGGGGGCGGTGGGAGAAAGTGGGTTTGCAGGACACAAAAAGATGAGATGGTAACATCACATTTCTATCAGGTTTCCCTACTTTCTTATCACGTTCTCTTTCATACCTTAGGTATCGTTTGGCACCTGAGCATAAGCCCCCAGCCCAGTACGAGGACTGTCTCACAGCTGCCATACACTTCATGAGGAACCCAGAAGACTACGGAGTGGATCCGACACGTATTATCACAGCTGGGGACAGTGCTGGAGCCTACCTTGCTGCTACCGTTACTCAAACACTCTCAAGCAGGCCAGACCTTCCTAAACTTCGTGCTCAGGTTTTGATGTATCCATTTATCCAAGCCCTTGACTTCAATTTACCATCGTATCAACAGTACTGTAGGATCCCACTATTGTCCCAAGAAGAAGTTATTTTGTTTGCTTTGCAGTGGCTGAAAGGGAACACATCAATTTTGAAACCTGCTCTAGAGGGTGCCCATATTCCTCCAGAAATAAGATTGAAGTACAGGAAATGGCTGAGCCCTGACAACATCCCGAAGGAATTTAAGGTTAAGGGCTACAAGCCACATTTTCCCACTGAGTATAGAAAAGATATCTATGAGCAAATTAAACTAACGTTTGATCCACTTACATCCCCACTTTTAGCTGAAGAAGCCATTGTTTGTCAGCTCCCTGAGACTTTCCTTATGACCTGTGAATATGATGTGCTTAGGGATGACGGGCTCTTGTACAAGAAACGACTGGAGGACTGCGGTGTCTCAGTAACTTGGCACCACGGTGAAAATGCTTTCCATGGAATTATTAACCTGTTTGATAGTGGCATGTTGACATTTCCAGCTGGAAAAAGGGCACTGGACAACATTGTAAGCTTCCTGAGAGGCTTATAAAAAACAACTTTCATTTCTTTGATTATTACCCTCTCACAGAACGCATAGAAATAAGGCTAAAACGGATCTCAGGAGGTCATCTAGTCCCACTTCCTGCTCAATGCAGGATTCTCCATGTCAGAACCATTAGCAAAATGTTTGTCCAGTGCCTGGACTTCCACAACCAATGGACCTTTTCTCTTCCAATATTTAACCGCCTATCCCACCGACTTGGATTGTTTTTTGTAACATCCATCCTAAAATCTCCCTTGGTGCTATCTAAGCCCATTTTTATCTGTCCTCTCCAGATACAGAACATGTGACCACTGTCCTCTTTAGAAGAATGTTTTTTGTAATCAAAGACCATTCAAATTCCTCTGCCCCACTCCCAGTCTTTTCCTCTCCACACTATATAATCCAAGTGCTTTTGTCCTTTCTTAATATGTCTTCTCTTCTACACCACTAATCATTTTTGTTTCTCTCCTCTAGACATTTCCAAATTTCTGCATGTCTTTCTTGAATACAGTGCCCTAAACTGAACACAGTACTATAGGGAAAGTCAGATCAATAATGAATAGCTGGAAGAACTGCTTCTCATGACTCACATGTGGCATCCCTGTTAATTCATCCCTGGATGCTGTTACCCTTTTTTTTTAAATCAGTACTGCTATGCCAACTGATATTCAGCTTGTGGTTCACCATAGGACCCAATGGTGATAAGTGTAAAGTAGTGCACATAGGGAAAAATAACCTTGGCTCTACATACCCACTGCTGGGCTCTGACCTAGGCGTCACACCTCAGAAGGAGGAGAACTTGGAGTCAATGTAGATAGCTCCCTACAAACACTGGTGCAATGTGCATTGCTAACCAAAATAGCCAATAAAATGTTGGACATCCTTCAGAAGAGAATTGAAAACAAAATGGAAAACAACAGTATGTCACTACGTATGCCTACATGTTGAACACGGCAAGCAGTTCTGGTCTCCCTGTACTCTCCCTCAAAAGCATATTCTATTTTCTTTGTTGGAGACTGGATTTTGGGCTAGATGGACCATTGGTCAGAACAAGCTTGGCACTTTTTATTTTCTTATGTCCTTCTTCTGCAGTACTCCAGCAGAGCTAGTTGTTCCCTTATTGAAGTTATGCAGCTACTTGTTTTGCCTGGAGTGCAATGCTTTACAATTGTCCTTACTGAGTAATACCAAAGTATCCAGCTCATTTCAAACCCTAACAGTAGCCTTCCAAGTGTCCACTACAGCCAGCTTGGAGTCATTTGTAAGATGACTAACTATGCAGTCCATCCCATCTGCCAAATCATTCATGACACTATTAAACAGGACCGGGCATGGGCCAGATGGTTGGGGATCCCCACTAGATACCTCCCCCAGTTAGACATTGAATCATCAATGACTCCTCATTGAGCATGGTTGTGTAACCAGGTGGGCTGGTTAAAAAGGCTTTACCTACTGCTTATCTGTTGCCTTTATTTATGCCTCAGAAATTAAACCATATCAGTAAGATACACTGTTTCTATGACGAGATGTCATGCAAGATACCAATTGATGCTGAAGTTTAGAGGATTATGTGAAAACCCTTTCTGCTGACGGTTATCATATGCAATAATATAGTTGTCTATTTTATGATTACTTTTCACTTTGCTGCAAGTACTTGCCTTTATCTGTATCCGTAAATATTAAAAATCTGTATTTGACCGGTTTAACCCATTTGTTGTAAGTAAGGCTTGAGACATAGAGTGTGTTTGCCATTGTATGTCTATCTACATTTGTTTGACATTAAAAATGTGAAAACCACCTACATCATCACATTGTGATGTAGGTGTTATGGTGTACCTTTGTAGCATCAGAATCGAAGATTGCAACTTACAGCAATAGTTGTGAAATATTTTTTAAAGTACTCACTCTCTTTTCTTCTACATCTGTAAAGACTCATCATGGATGGTGGAATGTTTTACACTTCAGTCCACAATTTTAAGTTGCTTTCCTTCAAAAAGAATACAAGGAGTAATCAAAGCTTTTGAGGAATGTAATATATTCACACAGCACATACTTACATCTGTGCTACGTCTATAAATAAAATGAAATATCCATTCCTTACTATGACATACTGAAGATGTTGATCCACACACCGTTCATTGCCAGACTCAGCGTTCCAACCCATAGTGTGACTTGGAACATCTAATTTCATATTTATTACACTAGAAAGTCATTGACACTTGATCCCCAGGGACTGATCCCCATGTAGGATGCAAGATTCAGGTTTCTGATTTGCCTTCTTCAGAGCACAGCCTTGGTTCTGGTTCTCCCTCATTCCACAGGGGCACTTTGAGCACACGGGGAGCACCTTTCACTCTGTTTTCTATCCAAAATGTCCTCAAAAATTGCACACTCTCTTAAAAAGCTTTGGGTTTGGCAAAGCAATGCTTCCCAAAGAAAATTCCTGACTGGTTCATTCAGTTATTTTCACTAAAATACCAATCCTGTCAAAGCTGTCATTGCTAATAGGAGCATAGATGCATAGATGTTAGGGTCGGAAGGGACCTCAATAGATCATCAAGTCTGACCCCCTGCATAGGCAGGAAAG